AAAGTATTAGTAATTATATAGGCTTATATAAGCTATATAAAAATAAAGTAAGATAAGGTTTAGATAAAGCTTTTTTTTCTTAATTTATTAATATTTTTATTTCCTTTTTAGAAAATAGCCTTGCTTTTCTATTCTAGTTTTAAGAAATCTATTTTTAGTATAGGCACTAACATGTATTATATAGTGCTAGGCAAAAAATACAATACAAATACAAGTTATATTTACTAGTATATCTTAGTATATAATTACTAAAAATAGAAACTATATTAGATAACCCTTGTAATAATTTTAAGATCTATAATATATATTAATTATATAATTTAATATTTATAACTTAGTCTAAAAAGCCTTGTATTTTAAAAAAAATACAAATTCTATACAAAATACACTTTTAAATCTCTGTTTATATATATATATATATATTAATATTATATAGAATATTATTTTATAATTTCTTAATACTAATATTTTAACTTTATAGGTAGAGCCTTTAACCTACTAGAAAATTAATAGCTTTAAATACCCTATTTTATCTATAATAGTTAGAAGATATTTAGCTATACCTAGTACTTCTGCTTCTATAGAAAGAATATTTTCTATATCTAGTAATATTATTACTAAAAATAGAAATAGACTAGACCCTTCTACTATAAAAACTATTATGTTATTAAAAAACTGGAAAATAGATAACTTAAAAGAGTTAGAAGAAGAGTATTTAGAAGATATTAAAGAAGAAGATAATTTTAGTAACTAGTACTTAATTATTATTTTTATATTATTTTAAGTTAATTTTTATATTAATTTTCTTTTATTTTATTTTTATATTAGTCTTTATATTATTTATTATACTATATATTATATTATTATTTAGGTTATTTTTAGATTATTTATTTAGTTATTTTTATATAATCTCCTAGGTTATTTCTTATATTAGCTTTTATAGTATCTTTTATATTATCTCCTATATTACTTTTTATATTATTTTATACTTCTTTTAGTACTATTTATATTTACTTTTAGTTAGTTAAATAGTTAATAATTATTAATATAGTTATTTAGTTAGTTATAAGTTATTAGTTATAAAATTAATAGTAAAGTAGTTAAAGTTACTTATATACTAAATAATTATTATTTAATTAAAATAGAATATTAATTATTTTTACTTAATTTTTATTTATTTTTATTTATTTTTACTTATTTTTATATACTAATTAGTATACTTAAGTATACTAGTACTAAACTAGCCTAGTATTAGTATACCCCTATACTAAACTAGCCTAGTATTAGTATAGGCCAAAAAATACTATTAGTATTAGTATAGGCTAATACTAGACTTAAGTATACTAATTTACAACCCTGGCGCCCGCTCTTGTCTGAGAATAGGGGTCTCGTCACCCACAGATTGCTTAGGGTAATAAGGAGAGGGCAATACTATGGTATCGGGCCAAAGTTTAACCCCCTTGTTAAGTACCTGTGGAGCAGCCCATACCCACTTAACCAGCCAATCAGAGGTCCTATATCCATCCAACCAATCCACCTATTACTAGCAGCACTTTTTCCTCCTTTTTTTTTCCCTCTTATAATAACCTAACTAACTAACCTACCTATATTACTAATATAGTTTAGCTAGCTAGTAGTAACATAAAGTATCTTATAGAGGCTAACTAGCAATAGATATATACCCTTTATACTAACGTAAAGCTATTATAGCTAGAGATAGCTAATATTACTAGATTTTTAAAGCACTAAGTCTATATAGTAATTTAGGCCCTAGTAGTAGCTATTACCCCCTAGTTAGGCTAGCTAAGGGTTATAATAACCTAATAAGAAGAGTAGCTTATTAAGTATATTACCTCTTTAAAGGAAGGCTACTAGGCCTCCTTTTTATGCCTATCTATACTTTTTTTTTTCTTTAAATTTAGTGCTTATATAATTTAAGTAGCTCTTTAGTAGCTTAGCTTTAAGTAATAGGCTATATAGTAAAAGCCCTTTATCTCTAAAGTTAACTAGTAATAGTGTCTTACTTAGGCCTAAGAGTACCTCTATTAGAGTATTAAGGACTAGAAGAAGGTTCTATAAATAAATAAGATATAGGTAACTAGTAGTTACTATATAAAGATCTATATAACCTATTAGTCTAGTAAAAAGTAAGATCTAACTTATATTATTAAGAGGTATTAATATAAGTAAGGTTAAATATTCTAGGGATATTTCTCTAGGGATTAAAAAGGGCTAGGTATCTTCTAGGAGAAGGATTAGGGTAGTATTAAGGCTAAGTTCTACTAATAGTAGACTATTCTTATTATCTATAGATAGATCTATTTATACTAGTAATAATATAGTAATAACCTTATCCTTATATAAGATAGTGCTTTAGTATACTTAGTAAAAAAGACCTTATAAGACCTTTATAACTAAGGTATCTAGGTTATCTATTAGCTACCTTTTTCTCTTAACCTTAACTTAATTAAGATATATTAGAACTAGATAAAGGACTATATCTAAGAGCTAGTAGGTTATAATAAGAACCTATTATATAATATCCTCTATATATAGGTAAAAGAGGCCTAGGAGGCTCTTCTAGAGGACTTCTTATTTAACCTTCTTATAACTATACTAGATTACTATAAGGCAGTAATTAAGGCTAATAGGTTATATATTAAGTATTAACTTTGCCTATAGAAATTAATTAATTTGGATGCGTTGCAATTATGTTAGCCATTTTCACCCCCTTGCCAGCCATCTGTCTGAGCCCCTGTTGTGGGGCAATACCTGACTATCTAGTTAAATATACCCATTACACGTAGTAGGCGAGTCGTGCTGTTCGTTAGGTCACGGACCAAGCAGAAAATTGGTATACTAATATAATGCAGAAGGGACAGAATTAGAGATACACAATTACGCCCCTTGCTTTTGATTGCTAGTGGAGAAACCCGAGCCCTGTCAATACTCTTCCACGTTCCTTTCCTCCTATATGCAACGAAGAACGTACGAACTCGCACTGTACAGCGATACACGGATGTACCCCAGGGATCACCCTGCGGAATAGGACTGATGGACGTTGGTCCAACAGCCGGCCTAAGGATACTGCAAATACAGAGAGAGTCTTACGCAGTCACTGCAACTATACGAACAAATCGGTGCCACCCGGGAAGAGCATGTATATAGTAGCAGTACCTAGCAGTAAGCGCCTTCTACCTAGATAGAGACATCCTAACGTAAAATACACGCGTACACTTTCGACTCCTAATTGGCAAGTTCTGGCGATCGCCGAGTACTAACTAGACAACATAGCTCAATCAAGCGCATTTCTGACGTACCTGTCTCCAAAGAGAGGGACAGAGAGAGAGAGAGAGAGAGAGAGAGAGAGAGAGAGAGATACGTTGTCAAGCTGACGAGGTTGAGCCTGGACGCTGACCAGAACAGGTTCCATAGACTAGGACAGGTTCTTAGGAGAGCCTCCTCTGACGGCTTGAATTGCTGTACACAATTGTTGAAAAAGAAAAACGCCAAGCTTACCACCTATCGCGAGAGAACTACTCGGAGGCCTACTAGAACGAGAAGGTATCTGCGCAGCTTCCTGTCAACTTCCTAGCTACACCCATCCGTCCACAATCCCTTTTTGTCAGTTATGATTGCAGATTATTACTAGCAGCTTCTCCGAGCCAATGGCATGGCGGAATCCGTTGCATGTTATATACTTTGAGAACCCTTGGTCCACGAAAGACATATTCTAAACGGCACCGACAGGAAACATTATCATCAAGCCTTGCTCCCTGTCTGTCAATACCTTAAGCGACTTGACAGCACATAGTAAGGGGGCGGCACACCCGCTACAGCACACAGCACCACAGGTGAATTAGTAGGTCAGTTGCCAGACTGCCTTCTATAATAGGGTTAACGCTATGCTTAGTAGCCTCTTGTTGGCTAGCGTAATGTCTAATTTGCTCAGTGTTTATAGTCCATATCTAATCTTCATCCTAGTCATCATTTTGATGTCTAGGCTGCTAAGTTAAAGTCGAAGAAGGCGTCACACAGGCCCAGCCTGTTGTGTACTTTACTCAGTACAGCCTACCTAGTCACTAATGCTGAACTTATAGTTATAAGCCATCATCACTCTTACAAAACTCAAACACACAACTTCTGATTCGTGCAGGGTTAGCCTACAGGCCGAGACGCACCTGGGTGGGCCTAAACCCCAAGGAACGTCGGCTTATAAAATCTCCAAATATAAAAAGCAAGCCAGCCACCTAGTCTAGACAGAGATGGCCTTCAGCAGCTTTGTGGCCAGCAGGAACATATTCAACAATTCTCAACATAATAACTACTTTATATTCTCTTTAATATAAAAGTTGCGGTTTTTCACATAATATCATAATTCTACTATCTACACTTGAACCAGATGAAGTTCAAGATCAGCCTCGTCGTCGCCTTCGCCTCTATGGCTTCCCTAACCTTCGCGGCGCCGGAGTTTGAGAAGTCTGCCCACGCCAAGCCCCCACTGCTTGTATTGAGAGAGGACACTTGCACCTGGTGTGACTAGAACAAGTGCAATTACAAAACATGCTTCTGCTAGATCAGTTCTCATTCCCCACATATCTACGTCCAAGCAGGCCTAAACGTCTTTAATTCGTCATACAGCAAGCAGATGAGAGAAAGAGCATATAAGAATTTTTAAGAAATACGATTAAAGTACTGTCATTCTGTCGTTTCAGTACTAATAGATAGTTATAGGGATTTTCAGGCCTGTTGCTGTGTAGGGATAACACATTCACGTCGTCAACTATATCTAAGTATTCCACCTAAATTTAGCCCAGTCTTCCGTATAGTGTTGCAGTCACAAGTGTCTTTGGCCTAGATAGGATGTATTCACTCTACTTGCATAGCACGTGTTCAAGTGCATGCCTATTAAGTATATAGTTAATGTCCCCGAGGGCTTCACCCTCAAGAAGGTTAGCTATTATAGACCACACTCACTTCCACCTAGTCAGCCCACCCTCGCAGCTGCGAAGCAAGAGGGGGTACCATATGGAACCCTATATGGACGCCTCAGTGGCGCCACGTCAAGGCAGAAGGCAAAAGAAAGCTAGCAACGCTTCAGTGTTAAGCAGGAGGCATCTCTAACGTCGTGGGCACTCACACAGGGCCACCTCGGCTTCGCTCCTAGCCATCAACGCGTACGAATATTCGCCGAACGAGTGCTCCGCGTTGGAGGCAATACCAGACCCCTTGGGAGGAAGTAGATGGAAGGCTTTCTACGCCGCAATCCTGCGGTAAAGACCTTCAAGGCGCGGAAGATCAATACCCGCCGTTGGGAGGTTACAATCGACGATGTGAAGGGGTTCTTCGACATCTTAGCCCTCCCGAAGGTTAAGAAGAACCATATAAGCCTCCAATAGAACATGGACAAGGCAGGGATTTCAGAGGAGGCCTAGAAGGAAGATTTAGTACTAGGATGTTCCAGAAAGCCTTTAATATTCGTCCAGAGCTCAGATAAGCACACCTAGACGTCCATCGATAAGTGCGTCTCCGCGGATGGCAAGTATCTTGCCCCCCTCGTCATCTTCAAAGCAAAGACCGTCCAGCAGCAATAGTTCCCCGAGGAACTCAACGACTTAAGGTATAGCACTTCACATCGTCCTAGAACAGATGGACATCGAATTCTATAGGCATTCAGTAGCTATAGAAGGTATTTATCTCATTAACTGCAGAGAAGGCTAAGAGATATTGGAACAAGCGTCTACTTATCGCGGACAGCCACGAAAGCTATATATCTAACAATTTTATGTAGCAGTCCTTTATTAATGATGTTTACTTAGCCTGCCTACTAGCATATTTATCACATTTCACGCAACCTCTCAATACATTGGTGTTCTTGCCTCTAAAGATGGCCTATAAACGTCACCTCGAAGAACAGAACTATACGCTTAACTCTGCACTAATCAGGAAGCAGAACTTCCTCTTATCCTATTTATGTACAAGAGACAATGCTATACGTTTACATGTCATTAGATCAAGGTGGAAAGCAACAGGGATATAGCCTACGTTTTTAATAGACTCTATTATAGTTTATTATAGACAATAAGTTAGTAGTTATATTAACTAAGCTAGTGCTCTCTACTCCCCCCTATTTTATACTCTCCCTTGTTCTATATACTTTTTTACCTAAACCTTTTTACTTAATACTTTATATAAATCTTGTCTCTTTATAGAATAACTTATAACTTTATATATAAGTAAGTATATAGTATAGATATAAGTATAAGGTTTCTAGATTTTAGTTCTATAGTTAAATACTATTATATAGTATTACTTACTTATTATTATACTATTTACTATAAAGCTAGACTTATTTTTACTTTAAGATATACTAATAAGACTAGAAGATTACTTAATTTCAAGTCTAATTATAAGTATATATTATAATATTAACTAATATATATATATATATATAGTAAGTAGCCTATTATAGTAAGTAGCCTATTATACTAAGTAGCCTACTTCCTTTTACTTTTTACCTCTTTAACCTTTATACTAATATTCTTCTATATATAAATATATAATTCTCTTTAATTAAAAGCTATATTATCTTTACTATCTAAGGTATTAAAAAAGACATAAAAATATCTATATAAAAGATAGCTACTATCTTTAAGGTCTCTTAAAGTTTACTTTATTAATACTACACTAGATATATTATATAAGACAAGATATATCTAGAATTAATAAAGATAATAAAAGTAAAAAAAAGTTTAATTCTTAAGAAGGTTATTAACTTAATTAATTAAGGGTTTTCTTTATAAAAAATATATAAGATATAGCTAACTAGCTTTAAAATAAATATAATATAATATATATTAAACCTTAATAGGTAAAGTACTTTATATAATAATAACTATAATTAAAAATATAATTCTAATATTAAATTAACTATTAGAAGGCCTTAGCTAAAGATTTTATAATTATATAAGGCTATTTTATACTTCTATAAAGAGAATTAATAAATAAGTATAAGGAATTAATATAAAGGCATAAGCCTTATATAGGCATAAGATATATACTCTTTAATTAGTCTAAAAGAAACTATTAGTATAACTAAATTCTACTAGACCTATAGATAGTAGCTCTTTTTTTTATCCCTCTTTATAATAAAGTTAATTTATTTAACCTTAGTTTTATGTATACTATTTACTTATAATAGCCTTATAATATAGTCTAAGATATAATATATAATCTACTTACCTTTTTACTATAGGTTATATTATAAAAAGTAACTAGTAACTAATTATAACCTACTACTATTATTTAGCTACTTATTATTCTTTTTTTTCTTTAAAAGTAGTTATTTTAGTGTTAGCTAGTTCTATAAAGCTAGTAATCCTAAGGGGTAGTGTAATCTTTTAGCTAAGCTTTTATTAAGCTTACTATAAGATATATAACCTTTTTTATACTATAAACTATATTACCTTAGTATAAAGCTAATACTTTACTTTACTTATTATTTCGTTAAGGGGATAATAAAAACTTAGTAGACTATTCTTTTTTAACTTTCTTTAAAGTAAAACCTTTTCTTTTATAAATAGTCTTAGTAACCTTTTTATTTTACTATATAGTAGTTTAATAGTCCTTTTAATCTTTTTTAATAAGTTATTAAAACTAATTAATAGCTAATAATAGTATCTTTTTAATAATAAAAGTATACTTATTAATAGTAAAAATAATAAAGTTTTTAAGCTAATTTACTACTTTATTTACTACCTTAATAATAATCTTTCTCTTAAAGTAAAGTATTTTTTAAACTATAGCTTTATACTATACTTTAAGTAACTAATTCTCTTTTTCTCTTATACTTAATTTCTTAAACTTACTAATACCTAGTAATCTAAAATAAACCTTTAATACTTTCTTTAATTAAGTTAATACCTTTATAAAAGCTAATAAACTTAGTATTATAAAGTAGTATAAGTATTAGCCTTATAGCTAGATTATATAATATACTTTCTAATATAATTAGCTTAGTAAGCCTAGGTATATAGAGAGTACTAGTATTTAATGGTATATATCTTAAAAATATAGTTATTAATAGTAGAGTATTATAGAAGCCTAAACAAAAAGTAAGTAACTATTATATTATTATTTAGTAACTAAGTATAGTTAGTATAACTATAGCTTTAGCCTTAAAGCCTTTATATATTTTTCTTATTACTAGCTTACTTAGCGTCTAATAAATATAATTAATATTATAAGCTACTAAGTTAATATCTAAGTATATAATATAATACTATTATTTAAGAGTAGTTCTTAGATTTTTTATTTACTTAATAAAATTGTTATAATGTTAACTATTGTAGATAAATATTAGAGTTATTAGGTTAACCCTAATAACTTATTACTAGTAAATCCTTAGATATTTAGCTATAGATTCTCTAAGGATTTATAGGTAATAAGTTAGTTATTTAACTAATTAACCTATAATAATTATTATTCTTTTCTTTATATATAATAAAGAACTATAGTTACCCTTATTATTTATTAATTACTACTAATATATATAGTTAACTATATTAACTTATCCCTTAGTATTACTAATACTAATTAGTAGTTAACTTTACTATTAACTATATAGGTTAACTTTACTATCTAAACTATAGATTAGTAAGGTCTATAAGAAGAAGTAATTATTACTAGTTAATTATTTATATACCTAGAGTAAGCAAGTACTAAAAAACACTTTTATAAATACCCTTACTATAAAAGTTTATACTAATTACTTATTATTATAGGTTAATTAATAGATCTATAACTAGTCCCTTTAACTAGTAGAAACCTTGTGAATTTATATCTATTATATAAGCTTTATTATCTTTAGAAAAGCACTTTTAACTATAAAAAACCTTTTACTTTATATACCTATAGCTAACTAGTAATTATTTACTATATCCTATTTATTATAAGCTTTTTAGCTTACTAACTTCTTTTTTTATATATATATACTTCTTTTACTAACTAATAGTATTAATAAGTTACTAATATAATAGCCTATTATTTTCTCTTTTTTTACTAACTAATAATATTAATAAGTAGCTAATATAATAGCCTATTATTTTTCCCTAAGTTATTTACTTATAAAAGTATATTTTTCTCTAACTATTTATACTACTTGTAGTAATCCCTCTAATAAACGTATACGCCTTCTAGTTTACTAAAAGAAACACCTATATTTAAGAGGTTATTAGGCTAATAGAGGATAATAGTAAATAATACTACACCTATAAGTAAAAGACCTAAGCTAAGATAAGTAAGTATAATAAACTTATAAGTAAGTAAGGCTTATAAGCTTTTACTTTATTACCTATTAGGTAATAAAAAAAGATTTATAGTAAGTATAATATACTACTTAATATAAGGTAGTAAGTAGTAGTAATTAATAATATATTTACTATACTTACTAACTTTATATAGTGTATTCTCCTATAGTAATAAGGAAAAAACTATATTAAGAAGTTACTAATTAACCTTATAAAGAAGTAATAAGCTTTTATACTTAATACTATTACTATATTTTATATTAGTAGTTATAAGTATTATAACTATATTAGTAGTAAATTACTTTACTATATATATAAGGATTTTAGTAAATAGTCTATAAATAACTTTAAGGTAATTAACTAAAAGGTCTTAATAAGCCTATATAACTTCTTTATTAATTATAGTATATAAGTTAACTATAGTAAACACCTATTAATTACCTAATATATATTTAATACTCTTTAATAAAAGGAAGGCACCTACTAGACTAATAAAATAATTACTATTATTAAAAGATTATTATATAACTTTAAACTACACCTTAAAGACCTTAACTTTATTAAGAATATCTAGGGTTATAATATAATCCTATATAGTATAAAACTAGCTAAAGTACACCTATTACTAGTAATTACTTATTAGACCTCTTATAATAACCTAACCTTTACTTTACTATAACTATAGTGTTCTTAACTATAAAGGAAGAGGTAGACTATACACTTACTATTAAGCTACACAAGAAAGGGATTATTACTATAGCTAGTAAACCTTTTAAAGAATCTAATAAGGTAGAGGTAAAAGCCCTTATTAACTATAGTGTATTTTATATTATTCCTTATAATAAGAAATCCTATAGTAACACCTATATATTTAAATTATAAATAGTCTATAAAGTAAAAGATAAAAATAAGTAGCCTTATAAGAAATTATAGCTTATTATCTAAGGCTATATAGATAGTAGTAAAGAAATAATTCTTATATAGTTATCTACTATTTAGTAAATAGCCTAGTAATTAATCTTTACTTTTACTTTTTTACTACTTTAATATAGATTTTTTCTTTAGTTATATAATATAACCTAGGTATATACTTAATTAGTAATACTACTAAATTATATTATTTCTATCTATTTACCTATATAAATTTACTATCTTTACTTAGTAAATATAATAATAATAGTAACTAAGCTATTATATAGTATTATAAAGGTAAAAACCTAGTAGTAGGCAACTTATAACTACTATTATAAAGAGAATCTTTAAATAGATTTATTAACCTTTAACCTTTACTTATTAATATTATTACTTAATAATAGTAA